CTTGAACCTAAACTCACAATCCAAATTATCAGAAATCGAAAAAATTAACAGAGAAAGTTTCATCATTAAACTCTCAAATATTTTTTCGAAACAATCAGCCATTATACGCGTGATACTCTGGAATGGGCTTAAATAGTATAAATACTTTTGCATCTCACACATTTCACTATATTTCAAATTCGGTAACGAACGAAACAGTTGTGGAACGATGAGACAAATTTTGCTCTTGACATTTTTGTCGTTTTTAGCCCCAAACGAGGTAAGAATTGTTAAGCTTGATATATAATATATATATAAAATATATAGTGTTTCCACTGTATGTATTGCAACATTAAAAATGTTTTATTTTTATTTTTTATCAACTGCAGGTCTTCATCAAAAGTGCCACAGGGCAGTCTTCAACCTATGAGGACCTATGTGGTACTTTCAGTATAAAAGCTCAACAGACTCTAGAAATAGAAAAAACCAAATTGGATAAGTTATTTAAAGGAAAAACAATCTTATGGCATGTGGAGTTATTGCCTCTGTTCTCAATATGTGAACCTGGCTTAACGTCTGAAATTATTGCTTCCTTGGATCACATCGTTGAAATTAACGCAAAGACGATTTCATTGACGAGCAATATACTTTCATTGAAGAGCAAAAGAGTAACGATGGACGCATTATGCGACAACATCAAATCGCATCTTACGTTAAATTCAACGTCTTCACAGATAATGCCAGCCGATATCGAAAACGTGTACTCAACATGGCGAAATGACTATCTCAAACAGATAGATTTGAAAAGAGTTGCCATTAATCTAAAAAAATTAAAAGAAAAGCATGGCCAATTTAACCAACCATTCACGAATGAATGGCTGCTTGTAAATCAAGCAAAAGCTGCTTTTCAGAAAGAATCAAACGCAATTTTCCTTGCGTTTACAAATACGGTGCTCAATGGAATAAATGGAGATGGAGTTGCTGAAATCAAGAAAGTAAAGGGCATTTTCTTAAATTACACACAAATACAAGCTGAAATGATAAAACATCTCTCTGAAGCAGTTAAAATTTTAGAGGAATTTAACATCCGACGTGAAATGTGGGCAAAATTTTTGGTTGGAGTACCAAATATAAAAATCTAATTCAAATCTTTCACATTTGAAAAAAAGTCTATTAATAATTGTAAATGTTCACCTTTTTTAATTAGACTATATTCAATGAATAATTAATAAAAAAACAAATGTTTTGTATTTTCATGGAATCATCTTAGACTTTAATAACATCTGTCGATTTTTATTGAATAAGAAAACAAAAATTGAAATAAAAGAGAACGAATTTCTTATTGCTAACTAGATGACATTTTTGTGAGGTTCGAATAAGTATCGAATGAATTATCATTTGATCGCTCTAAATGTGTACGTTTTCTTCGAAATGAAAAAAAGTACCGAAATCGATGGAGTATGTCATCTAAATCACAAGCGTTTTTTTTAATTAAAGGAATGGGTTGCGAATCAAACTTTTTAAAATCAAGTTGACTTTCAGAGCGAATGGCAGTCACACCGACTCAAGTGATGAAAATGTATATTTATTTATTTGATACGCTAGAAAATGTGCTAGCGCATACATTTGTTTTCAAACCTTTTTCTATTCCCAAGCGGCGATAGGCAATTTAAATTCAAATGTTAAAAACGAATCGAAGCCACGTTGAGCACGTCAAAGTGTGACAATTTTTGTACCGAACAACGTATTCTGATAAAACATTTATGGAATGATAATGCTCATTACATAAACCACCATTTCGAATAGTTTTGCAATCGTTGGTATTATCACAACTGGCCGGTAACTCGATGCATTGCTTTTTTCCAGATTTAAATATTAATACTATTTTAGAATTGAATGCTTTAGAATTAAAACAACTTTTTGTTTGGTCGCATATCGAAACGCGACCCAAAACGGTTGCATATCAATGCGAGACAATATTTTGTTATAAAAGGAATAAAAAACATTGACTTTGTATTATACAAAATATGTAAATTTCGTTTTGTGCTGATAACTAGCCACTGTTCTGCCATGTTTTAGTAACAGAATTTTGTTTCGCTTTGATATGCGACGCGATTCGACGGTGACATTTGAAAAACAATACGAAAAATATTTCGCACTCATGACTGCAGACACATAATCTTACTCTAAACGGTGTGTACGATATAAAGAGAATAAACTGCGAGATAGCATTTGACAACGATTTGAGTGACAGAGATGACAAATTTTTACGTTCTGTTCACACGAGATGATATAGACCACTTAGTTGTTTTGAAGAATTGAGAAAAAAATTGTATTTTTTTCACTTTTTGTGCTCTATATCGAGTCTTCGAGAGTTTCATATAATGTTTTTAGCTTTACCTTTACGATATCGT